AGGGAAGGGAAGGGAAGGGAAGGGAAGGGAAGGGAAGGGAAGGGAAGGGAAGGGAAGGGAAATACCTGCAGAGCAGGAATCCCAGAGGGCAGCGGTGAGGCAGAGCACAGCGAGGGCTGCCCGGGGCTCACAGGACAAGTGCTTCATGCCGAAGGTGCCGCTCCTGTGTCCCCACAGAGCAGGTGGCTGTCGCTGTCACTGTCAGATCTGCTGCAGCAATCCCTCGGTGAGCTCCGGAAGCCGCTGAGCTGGGCAGAGGGTGGAGCAAGGGAGCTTCCTGCTGCCAGGACACCTTGAACTTTCCTGCCACAGCCAGGTGAGCAAAGAGAAGGGCTCTGACCAAAACAGCTTCACTGGGAGGTGGATACCAGGAGGTGGCCCCTGAGGGTTAAGCCTGAAGGTTTCTCCCCAGGATATGATGCAGCTAGAAGGAGGAAAGGCCTCCAGTGCCAGCCCTTTCCAACAGGGTCTCAGGCAGCTTCTGTCTTTTGAGTCCTGTGAAGATGGTTTAATAGAGGCAGAAAGGAGCAGAGGACTGGAGCAGAGGCTTTGTCTCCCAGTTTGGCTTTTTTTTTTGCATGTTCACTGGCTTGACTTCCACAGTGATGCTTTTATGGAATAGCTGTGTGGGATCCCAAAAAACCAGCAGCATTAGGTCTGCTTTTGTTCTTTCCCTGTGAGCACAGCTCTCTCCCTGCATCCATCATCCTCTGCAAGGTGATTTTGGAAAATGTGTTCTTTCTTTGGTGGCTATTGCACCTCCTCCTTGGGATGTGCAAAGCAGGAGCTGAGCCTTCCTGTAAGCATAGCTCTGACTGCACACTCGGAGGGTTGACAGGAAAAGGATGCTTTTGACAGAAAAAGGATTGCAGGAATTTTTCTGCAATCCTGGCTGGAAAAGCCACACTGCAAAGTGCATGTGGTGTTGTCCTGCTCTGATGAGCAGCACACTTTGCTGTTCTTCCTCAGGCTGTTGGCTGTGCTTGCTCCTATCTTTGACATGATGATATCCTTGTTAGAGGAAACACCAGGCATGAAATCAGGCAGGAAGGCACTGGGAGAGGTGAGCTCTGCAGGGAGCAGGCTGCTGGTGCTCTTCTGCCGTGCTCACTCATGGCTTTGGGTGCTCCTGTTGGGACCTGTCTGGGGCCTGCTGTGGATCTGCTGATATTTTAGGGCAAAGCATGTTGAGCAGCAGTCCTTGTAGGATGGAGAGCATTTAACAAATTTCGCTTTCCCCTTCCATACGGCTGAAACCCACAGGAAAGGACACAACAGGCTTCCTACATGAATGGCGCACAGCAGGGTACAGCTCTGCAAAGCTGTGAGGTTGATCTGGTCTCCCTTCATTTAAGGAAAACCCTGCCCAGTGTTTCTGTGGGGTGAACCTGCTTGTCCTCACCACCAAAAATGCTCTGCTCCCATTTGGCTGTGAATATTTCCAGGATGCATCAGGACAAGGCAGCCAGAAGTTCCCCAGGCAGAGGGCACAGGGAGCTGCAGGGAAAGGCAGGTCAGCTGGGACGGGTGTGTGTGCCCAGCCTGTTTTCATGTCAACACTCCAGCAGTGCTGGCAGAGCTGGAGCTGTGCAGGCTGGTCTGTGACAGCCTCCTCCTGCTGCTGCTGGGATGCAGGCCCTGTCCTCCTGTCCTCCAGCTGACACCCCAGGCCTGTCCCCCTGTCCTTCAGCTGACACCCAACACCCTGTCCCCCTATCCTTCAGCTGACACCCAAGGCCCTGTCCCCCTGTCCTTCAGCTGACACCCAACACCCTGTCCCCCTATCCTTCAGCTGGCACCCAAGGCCCTGTCCCCTGTCCTCCAGCTGACACCCCAGGCCCTGTCCCCTGTCCTCCAGCTGACACCCCAACACCCTGTCCCCCTATCCTTCAGCTGGCACCCAAGGCCCTGTCCCCTGTCCTCCAGCTGANGTCCCCTGTCCTCCAGCTGACACCCCAACACCCTGTCCCCCTATCCTTCAGCTGGCACCCAAGGCCCTGTCCCCTGTCCTCCAGCTGACACCCCAGGCCCTGTCCCCTGTCTTCCAGCTGACACCCAACACCCTGTCCCCCTATCCTTCAGCTGACACCCCAGGCCCTGTCCCCCTGTCCTCCAGCTGACACCCAAGGCCCTGTCCCCCTGTCCTTCAGTTGACACCCAAGGCCCTGTCCTCCTGTCCTTCAGCTGACACCCAACACCCTGTCCCCCTATTCTTCAGCTGACACCCAAGGCCCTGTCCTCCTGTCTCCCTGTCCTTCAGCTGACACCCCAGGCCTGTCCCCCTGTCCTTCAGCTGACACCCCAGGTGTGGCACAATGTGACACAGCCCCAGGTGGGGCTGTGACCCAGCAGCCACCACCCTCAGCAGACAGGAGTCACGGCAGGAGAGATGCTGCAAAATGCTCAGAGCTGCTTGAAATTCACCCCTGGGATAATTTTCATCTCTGGCTTGTTTGATTGTCTCAGCCTCCTTTTGTGGAGGTTGTCTTTAATTTGTGTATTTTGCTGAGCTACTTGTTGCATCAAAGCTAAACTTTAACTCTTTAAGTGGGAAAGGCCCTGTGCTGTCTGCCAGATTCACCTTTCCCTTTTGAATTTCTCACCTTCTGTTCCCACTGAAAATTGACCTGGCAATTAATTTTGCAAAAGTAAATTAATTCAAAAGTATTCTGTGCAGCACAAAATGCTTGAGGAGAAACAAAAAGACAAAACTGATCTGCTATTGCATGAATGATTCAATTTTTAATGAAATCTCTTTTGAATTTTAACTAGTAACTAAATACTCTTTGTCAGCTTGTAGGGAAATGTCCCCATTTCTAAAGGATGCTGAAAATGCTTTTGCACAATTAACATAATGTGTTTCTTTTCTTTTCCAAAATGTGCTCCCTCCGTGGCTCAGAAAGGGCTGCTCCAAAGTCTCCTGAAGCAGAGAACAGGCTGCGCTTGGCTTCAGTGGTTTTTGGATCAGGCTGGAAATGAAGGCTTTGCTTGATAAGTTCAGACACAATGGGAGCTCTGCAAAATCATTTCCTGACACAGATTTGGATTTGTTTCATTCTTCTTTGTAACGGGTTTATATTTCAAGGCTGTGAGTGCCTGAAGAGCGATAAGACACTCCAGAGCCTTCCCTTGATTTCTACTCCCATCTCCCTCCACAAGGATGCCCTGGCACATGAGGCACAGCTGCAGGCCCTGCAGAGATGCTGCTTCCTTTCCTTGGGCTCCCATTTTCATGCTGTTCTCAACACAAGACTCTTTAAAATTAGGTCCTTCCCCAGCTCTCCTGTTGGAGATTCTTCCACAGTGTGTAGGGCTGGGCAGCTTTCCCTGATGGTTATGGAGGAGGCAATAGCTGCTGTTGGGTAGGTTTTGTGCCACAGAGAGCTTCAAGGCTAAGATTCTCTGGTGACCAAAGCATTGTCCTTGTCACATCACCAGGTGTGGCTCTCAGAAAATTATGACCTTCATCACACACATACACGCTCACTCTGTGTGTGTGTATACATATCCTGTTTACACAGGCAACTGGTTTATGTTTTTCATTCCAAATTAAATCTGATTGCTGCTGCAAAAAAAAAAAAAAGTTCAAAATCTTAAACCTGCTGCCAATAATGTGTCAGAATCTTAAACCTGCTGCCAGTCGGGGTGGGGGCCAATTTGTTTACTGTCTTCATTGATGTGAAAAAAAAAGCCATCTAAGATAAAGATACCTGTGAACAGGGGGGTTGATTTTTAAAACTCAGACAAAAAATGTCAAGACCACAAAGGTTTTACTCTTTAAATGAAAGAAGGGGAGAGGGGATGTGCTGTTATGCAGAGGAAAGCAAGTCTAGCATTTAGGAAAACAGCACAACCCTGCCCTTTGTGTTGTCCAGTCCAGGCTGGGGTTGGTATTAGACAAATGTTGAGCCTGTGGCCCTGCTGTGACCTCATGCTGCTCATCTGGGGACCCCAGGGAGAGGGCTCCAGAGCAGCCAGGCAATGAAGGGCTTAGAGAAAGGCTGCCTTCAGCTTGGCCCGTCAGAGCTGCCTGCACCAACAAAGAGCCCACTGATGGGGCTTCTCATGGCCAGCCATCATCATCTCATCTGCATTAATAGGATTATTATAAAATAATGTTCTTACTTCCACATGCCAGAGGCGTGAAACAGGATATGCTTTCTTCTCTCTCCTCTCTGCTTCTCACCCGGGGAGGGTGGGGGAGAGGCTTTATCCCTGCTCGTTCCTTGGCCAGCAGGATGGGGCAGCCAGCTTGGTGCAGCTTTCTTTGGGGGTGGACTGTGCTTTGGGGGGCTGGGGAAGAGCAGCAAAGGAGCAAAGAGGAAGCAAAGCCAAGAATCATCAGATGAGCAAAGGGGGAAGAATGTGCTGTGGTCAGAGGTGAGGGGAGCAGCCTGAGGAGCTGTTTTGTTTTGTTGTGTCAATATGAACCAGTTTGGAGCTGAATGATGACTCCTGTTGTTTGGTATCGCTCCATGGGCTGGAAGGCAAAGTCCTCCCTTTGCCACACCAGCTTCTCCACAGCCCTCTGGGGCATCCACACAGTCAATGGCTGTGACTTCACATCTGCCTGATCAAGGAAATTTCCAATTTCTCAGCAGAAGGTGCTGACCTTCATCAGCCTTTAGTCCCTTGCTTTGGTAGCACTGATAGAGAAAGCAGAGCTCACCATGGGCAGTGGCTGGTCCAGGAGAAGCACAGAGCAACCAAAGAGGGTGGGAGCCCTGGGAACCCCACAGCCAGGTCATCTGGGGGGTTTGCTGAGCAAAATGCACGTTTCAGGCCCACCTGTCAAAAATACCTTGTCGTTTTTAGTATTTCCTTTTTAGGTCACATAGCTTGAGACAGAGCAAGTTTGGACTTGAGCAAATGGCAGAACCCTTCTCACCAAGATGACCTTGTGAAGTGGGACAACCCTTTGCTGCTTTTGAACAGAAAACCCCTGTGCTGGGAAACCCTCTGCTGTTACTTGTCTTTTGGCAGTGTTCCCATAGACTAACTAAACCCTTTGGCTTGTTGGTCCAGGGTTACTGGGTGCCTCCAAAGGAACAGGTCTGAGAAAGCATTTCTTGAAGGGTGCCTTACTATTTTATATAGCCATGCATTTTGATTAGTTCTTATTTTGGGAGTGTGACTGTGTTCACAGGGGTCTTAGGAGGAGGGAAGAGACAAGGATCTGACTCCATGTTTCAGAAGGCTTGATTTATTATTTTATGATATATAATATATTAAAACTATACTAAAAGAATAGAAGAAAGGATTTCATCAGAAGGCTAGCTAAGAATAGAAAAAGAAAGAATGATAACAAAAGCTTGTGGCTTGGACTCTTTGTCCAAGCCAGCTGACTGTGATTGGCCATTAATTAGAAACAACCACATGAGACCAATCACAGATGCACCTGTTGCATTCCACAGCAGCAGAAAATCAATGTTTACATTTTGTTCTTGAAGCTTCTCAGGAGGAAAATCCCTAAGGACAGGATTTTTCATAAAAGATGTCTGTGGCATGGGAGGG